TAAGGCTGCTCCTCTTCAGCTGGCACTCGTATCTGTCACTCTGAGACCTGGCATGTTCTGTCCTGCAGAGCTGGACTGGAAGGCAGTGGGGTTCCCTTTCCTCTTTCAGGGACTTCGGGATCATTCAGTATGATCAAAAGCCAAAGCAAAGCCGTTCTGACTCCCAGGCGACCCTGTAGGAGAGGGTAGAACTGCCCCTGTGGGTTTTCGAGACCCGTGAGTCTTCACGGAGCAGACAGCCCGTCTTCCTCCTGCACACAATGCGAAGAGCTCCCCAGCTAAATGAGATGTCAGGGAACCTCCCCACCAGGGAAGGCTGAGTCACTCAGTGCTGGAACTAAGGACAAGTCTTTCGGCACTGCTGTCCGATGGAGACGCTATAATTAGCAAGGCGATGAGAAGTGAAAGGGAAAAGTATAAACAAACCAGAACAATCATTCCCAGAACAGGCATTGAGCAGTGGGAGCCTGGAACAGGGAAGACAGCCCGAGGTGACAATGTTTGCCGTGTCTAACTCAGAGCTCACTGAGCCCAGCGTTCTAGTACGCAGATGTAGTAGGCCGACAAGGGGGACGTCCTGGGCAGCCTTGCCTCTAGAGGAGCAAGTGTATGCCTACGTTCTGGACGCTGTTGCTTACCTTCGGACAGGTGTGACGGGCTGGCTCTTTATTTGGTCCCCCAGTGAGCAGACTCTCAAGGCTTGGCTCTACTTTTCTGCACTTCCCTTTTAAAGACAAATCATTGGCCGATAAGACCTTCTGGATCTGTTCTCGTGATGCAAAGAATGTACATTTTATCTTTTAGGATGTCCAAAGTAACCTTTAAAAGTGGGGATTTAAAAATCAAGTATGTGCCCCTCAGGACCAATAATGACAGTAGCGATACCAGGAGGGGAAGGGAAGGTGGGAGGGAGAGAGGGGGAACCGATCACAATGATCTGCATATAACGCCTTCCCAGGGGGAAGGACAGCAGAAAAGTGGGGGGAGGGAGGCAGCAGTTGGTGTAAGACATGGAAAAAAAAAGTATAAATTATCAAGGGTTCATGAGGGAGGCAAAGTGGGGAAGGAGGAGCTGATATCAAGGGCTCAAACAGAAAGAAAATGTTTTGAAAACGATGATGGCAACATACGTACAAATGTGCTGGACACAACGGGATGGATGTATGGATTATAAGAGTTGTACGAGACCCAATAAAATGATTTTTTAAAAATCAAGCATGTTATAAGAGCTATAAGAGCTCCCCCATAAAATGATTTTTTTTAATAAATTAAATTAGATAAAAAGTAAAAATCCAGCACGTTGTGTGTCCTTTGAAATTTCAAAAAATAGATATATCGTTTTAAAGGGTGTGGAGCTGGAGGCCTCTCCGTAACTAATGTTGGTGCAACCGCCACCCGTTTTGTTCATGAGGGAAATGCGACTGAGGGAGGTCAATCCCTCAGGAGAGGTTCTGCCTGGCACAGAGCAAGAGGGTGCCACGGGATTTGCTGTTCCGCGTCTGCGTGATGAGAATGTCTCTCCCGAAAGGGAAACTTCAGGCCTGAGAGCCCCTGAAAAGCTTCTGACGTGCCTGACTCCTCTCCGTCACCATCCGAATGCCTCACGGCAACAAGCCCCTTCCTGCGTGCATGGGCATCGCCAGACCTGACACCCCGCCCTGCCTTCCGCAGTGAACGAGAAGATTCTATGCGTGCCCTGCATTCCAAGAGTCATTTGTACCCCATCCCGTAAACTGGTGCCGAAGATCATTCAATGATGGTTGCACCACTACCGTGTCAGGGAGCCGCCAGAATCCCCAGCGGGATTCAGAAGATGACCTGGCATGAGGGAGCCCCGGGCTGACATCACACGGAACTTGGCTGAAAGACAGAGGCTGCCGGGAAGATGCTTGCCTGTGTCTTGTGGACCGTATGAAGAAGCTCAACGATGTGGAATCCTAACAAACTATGGATGATGTTGCAAAAAGAAGAACGCGCCATCATGCTCCCGTGGGACCTGCACACAGACCCAGAGATAAGTCAGTGGCACGGAGCAAGAGGATGCTTACTGCGTGGCTTAACATCCGGAAAGGAGTGTGTTAGTGTGGTGTCCTTCCACCATGCTGCTTCTGTCTCTGCGCAGAGCAAATCATCCGAGAAGCTGGGCTGTATGATTGACGAAGAAATGCAACACCGGGACAGGACAGCTTTTTATGCAGATGACACAACTTGCTTGCTGAATGTCTGGGGGCACTTGATGGCGAAGATGGAAGCCTGCCTCCTGCAGTGTGATCACAGCTCAATGAAAGGAAAGCCCAAATCCTCACAACTAGACGACACAAGCCAACATGGTGATCCACAGAGACAGGACCAGGTGGTTAAGGATTTGTTTACTCGGTGTGGTACTTACATAATCTGCTGCCAACTTGGGACTAGTAAGAGTGAAGGGGTGGACGTTAGTCTGCCCATCAGGTCACAGCTTGATGACCGCATTTAGAGGCACGAAGGAGATAACTAGCTCACTGGAGGTGGGCCACACTCACTGTCTGCAAGACATGCCTGTTGACAAGCCACATTGCAGCTATGCTGATGGTGCCCAGAGCCTCCTCAGAGTGTGGAAACCCACGCCAGTGCTTAGATGCTTCCACCACTGGATCCATAAGACGTTCCACCCACTGGCCTGTGAGCTTCCTGCACTCGGCATCATTGCATGTGTTCTGTGAGTCTGAAGTGGAGTTTACAGACTGGTACTGGACATAGGGGCTCACATCGGACTTATGGACTTATACTGGACTGGGCTGGGATGTTTTCTTAATGTATAATTGCTCTTTGACATAAAGTTCTCTCTTCCACACATGAGGGTCTATGAATTTGTTTCTCTAGTTTACCCAGACTAACACACTTGGATTCCCTATCAAAGGTCATGGAAGGGCAGTCAAGAAATCAAAGGGCCTAGGGCCTTGGACAGATCTGCCGTACAAAATCTATTTTGAGTATTAAAGACCAAAGATGCCACTTTAAGGCGTAAGGTCTGCGTGGCCCAGCCTATGGTGTGTTTAAATCGCCCCGTGTGCAGTAGGGAGCTAGGCAATGAATGAGGAAACGGGGAGAGGAATCGGTGCCCTTGAATGAGAGTCTTGGTGAGTAAAATGGAAAGTACCACAGTCTGGCTCTGGCAGACAAACAGAGCAGACCTTATTGCCGTCCTTGGACATTTGACCCGTCCCCTGGGAAAGGACATCATGCTTGTGTATTAGTCTGGGTGGACTAGAGAAACAAATTCATAGATACTCATATGTGTGCCCGAGAGAACTTGATATCAAAAAGCAATTGCACATTAAGAAAATATCCTAGCGCAGTCTAGATCAAGCCCATGAGTCCGTTATTACCCCATATGGCCATACTAGTCCATATATTCCTTTTTAGATTCTCACAGCCATGCAATGATGTCCAGTGCAGGAAGATCACAGGCTGGTGGGTGGAAAGTCTGGTGGATCCAGTGGTGGTAGAAGCATCTCAACGTCGGCGTGGGTCTCCACGTGGTTCCTCCAGCTCTAGGACTCTGGCCTATCCATGTGGCTTGTCGACGGGAATGTCTCCCAGGGAGTGTGGGTCTGGCCTCCAGCGAGCTATTTATCTCTGTAGCACCTCCAAATGTGGTTGTCAAGCTGCGACCTTTTGACAGGCTAAACTCCACCCCTCACTCTATATAGTCTCAGGTTGTCACCAGATTATATAATGACCACAGCTTGGTAAAGTAGCAGAAAACCCACTGCCATCCCCATAGATGGCGACTCACAAGGACCCTGTAGGACAGAGTAGATGGTCCTGTGGGGGTCTAAGACTGTTAGCTCTAAATGGGAGTTGAAATCCCCATCGTTGTCCCTGGTAAGTATGGGCAGAGGAGGAGCCTCCAACAGATGGATCCACACAGTGGCGCGTCCACAAGGAGCATAACAGAGGAGCAATTGTGAGGATTGGGCAGGACCATGGAGTGTTTGCTTCTGTGGCACACAGGGCTGCTGTGACTCAGAGTTGTCCTGCGAGGTGACTCAAATGGCTAAGTGCTCGCTTTCTAACCAGAAGGCTGATGGTTCAAATCCCGAGGCAATTGGTAAGAAAGTCCTTTGGAGAGCTCAGAGCCCCTGCAGACTTGTTGGAGCCCCATCCTTTGGGCGGTTGACACCCGTGTCTGCCCGTGAGCCACTCAGCGGGAGCAGGCTTGGATTTTGTTGTGCCCTGTGTTCTTGACCTCTGCAGTTCATCTGCTCTCAGGAGAAGTGACCTTGCCCCTTGAAGGCCTGGGAAGAGGAAGGGTCTGTAGGTTCTGTTAACTTGAATGACATCTTCGAAGCTGCGTCTCGACGATGGTTTAGGGAAAGAAAGCCCACTTCAAGTGAAAAGCACCGAAACTTTTACTTTATGCTCGCTCGATTCTTAACTCTAGTAATATTCTTTGGCTCCTCAGTGTATGCTACTAGGGGGGGTCACATGTCAGTGATTAGCCCACTATGCAGGGCATTCACCGTGTTTGGTCTTGGGGGATAAAACAAATGTTTCAGAAACCATTTCATATATATATAAAAGTTGACAGCTCTCCTGATGCCAGGTGCAACTGTCATGACTAAGTAGAGACATAAGCTGAACACCTGGAAGTGTCTTTCCTTAAACCACAGAAGAGGGTAAGGGGCGACCTAGTTGCTTGCAAACATCTAGCCTGACTAAGAAGTTCTGCTGTGAATGCCTCAGGGCCTGGGGAGGGGATCGGGTGTTGGACTTCTTACTGCAACATCTTTATTCCCGCAAGTGTGGTTTTTCGTATTTCTTTTGATTGTCGGGGTGGTTTTTTTTTTTAACTTCCTCCTCCTTCATTTCTGCAAAATACAAAGGAAATTCCCTGTGAGGTTCCAGTCACACATTAACAGCTGCCACAAACCCTCTTGGCATTCTGTAAACGAGACTTCTGGAGCGAAATCATTAATAGCGAATGTGATTTTTATCTTTTCTTTTCTGTTTTTCAGAACAAGGAAAAGGCAATCTACATGTTACCTCCTTAGAAGATGCGGAATGTCGCCGCCGACCCAAGGAACGCCTTTCTAATGGCAAAGGCCCCGCCGCGCTTCCCAAGTCTTCCCGCAGCCTCCCGAGGAGGCACACCCTAGGCGGGCCCCGGAGTTCCAAAGAAATCCTGGGCATGCAGACGTCTGAGATGGACAAGAAGAGAGAAGCTTTCCTTGAACATCTGAAGCAGAAGTACCCCCACCATGCCACCGCCATCATGGGCCACCAGGAGAGGCTGAGAGACCAGGTATGAACACTTGTCTCCACAAACTCACACGTTCAAGAGAGCAAGGACAAGCCAAGGGCGCTCGCGTGTAGCGGGGACAAACATGAGTGCACGGTGCCTTCTAGTGCTGAGGCTGCTCCGGGTCCCCTTTCAGGCTGAGGCCAGAGCCAACCTGTTGGACAGGTTGGACCTGAGATCTCGGCTCCGTTCCCCACAGGAAAGACCCAGCAGGCCTGTATCCCCGTGTTTTGCCTCAACTACTTTTGTGTAGGACAGGCGATGAAGAAGGCATACGTAACATACAGGTAGCAAACTGACGTGGGGGTGGGCGGGGGTGGCACCCAGCTCTACAGAACCATACAGCATAAGTGCGATCTGTGTCCACATCCCCGCTTCTTCCAATCACGTGGCCCTGCGAGTTGAACCCCCCACACGGAGAAGCTGATGTACATCTTCGGGATAAAAGGGGGCGGGAGACACGTGACAAAACCCCTTTTCTTGTTCCGGCGCTTTCTCTCTGTCGAATCAGAGAAGCGTCCTCTTGCCTGTTCTGCCTTCTGCCGCCTTCAGCTCCCTGTTTTCTCAAGTCGGCTTGACAGCCACGCCGGTGTCCCCCCAGACATGTGGGTGGGCGCGTCTTGTTGCTGGGCTGTGTTCAGTTACTTTTGTAGCAGACAGAGTAGATTGGGAGGGTCACGGGAGATGCGGGTCCCTCTCCCCTGGCCCTCACTGGTGTGTTATCAGAATGACCTTTTGAGCGTAGGGTCCAGATGAACCAAAACCCAGAGCACTTAGTGATCGGCGAGGGGCCCGGGGAGGAAGGCAGGCTGCTGTTTACCTCGCCACGGACGTAGAAAGGCAAGGCCGGCGCATGAAAGTCTCTTCTCTGGCAGATCAGTTAGTTGTGGGATGGGGCACCCTGCTCAGCATCCAAGGATCTGTGCAAGTGGAGGCTGGCATCTGCCGGAGCCGCCTTCAATTTCCACTTTATGCGCCAGCCAGGTTCGTTCCTAGAGTCGAGCCCTCTTCCTTCCCTGTGCTCTCGATCAGGGTGCCTTCAGCACTTGAAACACAATTGAGCTTCACGCTTGTTTGCTTGTTTGGTTTTTATTGCTCGCACAGCCAACCTGCAGTGGAGCCAGAGCTGAGCACTGAAGTCCTCGGAGTCCTGGTGTGTGAGCTCCTTGGAGACGAAGGGAAGGGAGCCCACCTTTTCCTTTCAAACAGATGTAAAGACGCCCCTGTAGAAAATGTCCCTACTTTTTTTATTATTATTAATCATTTTATTGGGGGGGCACTCTTACAGCTCTTATAACAATCCATTGTCCATCGTATCCAGCACACTTGGACATAGGTTGCCCTCATCATTTCCCAAACACTTTCTTTCGTTCTGCTTGAGCCTTTGGTATCAGCTTCTCTTTCTCGCCCTCTCACCCTCGAGAACCCTTGATCAGTTATAGATTGTTATTGTTATTTCGTATCTTAACACTATCTGTCATCTTGCTTCCCCCACGTTTCTATTGTTGGACCCCTCAGTGGTGGTGTGGTCGGGATTCTGTAACAAGCCCTGTGATCGGTTTCCTCTTTTTCCCTCCCCCTACCCTCAGGGATTGCTATTCCCACTACTGTTCCTGAGCGGTGTATCTGTCCTGGATTCCGTGTGTGTCCAGAGCTCTTATCTGTACCAGTGTACGTGCTCCGGTCTAGCTGGATTTTTACTGTAGAACTGGGTCATGATAGGGGAGGGAGGGAGCATTCAGGAACGAGAGGAATGTTGTGTGTTTGTGCTTTACTGTACCCTGGTTGAATCAGCTCTTTCTTGTGACCCTTCTGTGGGTGGATGTCCAATTGTCTACAGATGGGCTTTGGGTCTCCACTCTGAGCCTCCCATGTTCGCATCGAAATGGTTGTTTGGGATATTTTGACACCTGGAAGCCTCATCTCGTCGGCACCTTGTGATCACACAGGCTGGTGTGCTTCTTCCATGGGGGCTTTGTTGCTTTTCAGCTAGATGGCTGCTTGTTGATCTTCAAGCCTTTAAGACCCCGGACGCTGTATCTTTTGGTAGCCAGGGACCATCGCTTTCTTCACCACATTTGCTTATGTACCCATTTTGACTTCAGTGATCATGTCGGGAAGGTGACCATCACAGGCTTAGAACAAAGAGTTCTTACATTGAGGGAGGCCTTGAGTTGAAACCCAACGTCTGTCTGCTATCTTAATACTCAATAAATAAATATATGTACATTGACCTATATCCCTATCATAAATTAATATATTTACATCCTACTTTCATTACTAGGGTACTCTCCACTTCAGTAGAGAGTACTGTGTCTCGCTGTGAGTCACTTTTTGACATACGTTGGCCATATCTTATCCAGATCAAGGGAACTCAAGCTCTAAGAGAAGGTATGCTTACAGTTGACTGAGAAGTTGGGGGTCTTAGAGGCGTTGGACATCAAAATTCTTGAGTATCCCACAATTCCACTCTCTTCTGAGTGAAGGAATGTGACTTCCACTTTTAGAATTGACGTGTGCTCTGAGTGCCTAGGGCAGTGGTTTTCCACCTTCCTAATGCCGCACGCACCCTTTCATACAGTTGCTCATGTGGTGGTGACCCCCCACCACAACCATAAAATTATTTTCGTTGCTACTTCATCACTGTCATTTTGCTACTATGATGAATCAGGCAACCCCTGTGAAAAGGGCGTTCAACCCCCAAAAGGGTCATGACCCACAGGTTGAGAACTGCTGACCTAGGGGAAGGGATGGTGTGTGTGTGTGTGTGTGTGTGTGTGTGTGTGTGTGTGTGTCTCCCTGGGGACAGCAGAAGGAAGGAAGGAAGCTAGAGAATTGGTTGTATTTTGAGTCCAGGTTAAGTGAGGAGGGTAATTCTTCAAACATAGTACCACCACCAGTTGAGGGTCCTGAGAATTACTGGTGTTGGTCTGTCAGACACAACAGGACTTTTCCGTGCGAGGAGCACTGTAATGATGACGGTCACCATCGCCATGTGGACTGTCCTCATGGTCACCATTACTGTTATGGTGGTGGTGGGCATGGGAGGGGAGGGGCTCCATAGTAAGAAGCAGGTTTTCAGGGTGCAGGGTTTAGGAGAAAGCATTCCGTGGGCACGTGTTTTGATCTGTCCCATCCATGTCTGCCGTGGGTGTGGCCCTGCCACAGCATGTCAGGCGTCTGGTGAACCAGGGCCACTGTTGTTTCACAAGCTGACCACCGGAAAGCAGGGAGAAAATACTTACTGGGTGAACCGAGGGCTTCCAAGGTCGAGGAAGTAGACTGCTTGGGGTCTTCCCTCAGGCAAGCCAGGCAGTCTGCTTGCAGGCAGCAGACAGCAGGATGGGTCAGCAACAGTCAGTAGCACAGGAGAGCTTATGGAAGCAGGCTGATGCTGTCTCGGACTCCAGCATGATGGTGGGATCCACCAGCCTCAGCTCGAGCAGTGCGCCCACAGCAGCTCGATGAAGCAGGCCTTGAAGGAACCTCAAGCTCTAGTGACAGAATCCACAGGTTGGCTGGGCCCACTCGTAGTGCGGCACACAGGTTGAGACAGAGAACTAGCTAAAGCAGCAGCACTCTAGTCCGATCGCCAGGGCGTAAGAGGGAGAGGGGATGCAGACTATCTTCATTTATCTTGGTGATCCTCCAATCAAGCTGCGACCTCATTAAACTCGGCCTACCTTTTCCTGCTGCCTCGTCGGCACAACAGCCCTGTGGCACGTCCCTTCCAGTCACCCTCCTTTTCCTTCCCGCCCACCTTCTCTCCTCCGCTCCTGCCTGGGGGACACCCACCTCTTCACAGCCCTCAACGTGGTGAACAGCCTTTGGTTTCTTCTTCTTATTTTCCTCTCTAGGCATGCTATTATGACGTATTTCTCTCCGTGAGATTGACTAACTTTGCTGAGCGTAATGCCCTCCAGTTTGGTCTGTGTCAGGGGGTGTTTGACAGTGTCTTCATTGTTTTCAGAGGTACAGAATATTCTGCTGTTTATATTCACCCATTCCTCCACAGACGGCTGTTTCCATTTTGCTGCCATTATACAACTGGCTGTGATAAGCCTGGGTGGGCATAGACCTGTTTGTCTTTTATCCTTTATTTCCTTGGGGATATACACTGAGTAGCAAGTTTACAATGTCACTTGGGATTTGTATGTGCATTTGTATAAGGAGGCACCACCGTGGTTGTACAAGTCTGTAATCCTGCAGTGTATGAGTGTTTCAGTTTCTCCACATCCTCTCCAGCAGTGGTTGTTTTCTGTTCTGTTAAATTTTACCAAGAGTGTCAGTATGAGGTTAGGAGTGCATTCTTTTTTCCTTTCCAAAACCTTTTTATCGGGAGCTAATACAGATACCATATGATTTCAGAGGTCAATCACGTCCAGCTGTATTGTACAACTGCTACCACAATCAGTTTCAAAACATTCTCTTTCTTCCTGAACTCCTTGATAGCGGTTCCCCTGTCCTCTTCTGTACCCCCCAGGAGCCCTTGTTCTACTTACTGTAGGTTCATTAACCCTGGGTTTCATATACTGAAGAAAGAGAAAAACATCCAACCAAAATTCTAACAGGCTACACCCAGTGACAACATGCATCAGAACTAAACCCCAGTATGAAGGAAAACACCCACAAAATGTTGAAGAGCAGATCAGGCCCAACGTGATGGGGGATTAACCAACAAGGTTTTACTGTTCAAGCCAGTTTTGTCACTGTGATTTCCTTAGTCATCTCTGCAATGCACTCTGCTTAATGACCAGTTTATTCCCACCCTTCCATTCTGTATAGAGGGAATCACGGGGCTTATGCCCTGTATATGTCTCACAAGTGTATCCTGGGCTCCCACTGTCATCCATAGCCTTCTGCAAGCCATCATCTCACAGGTTGGGCTCTGATATGATTCCCTCCTTCGGCTTTGGATTATATGACTTCTATTCCGTGGGTCACGAATGTTGCTGTGCTTCCTCCATGAGGAGTTAGTTGACATCTCAGATAGCTGCTTGTTT